GCCTTGTAGGTATATTTGAATTGCTTAATGACTTGAAAAAAATGAGCGTTTTGATTTTTTAAATGTCCTGTAATATCCTATAAGAGTCATTTCATGTCATTCCCCAGTGGTGCGCGCGAGAGGCCTTATTAAGCCAAATTGCTCAATTTGTAACTCGTCAGAAAAGCATCTGAACGCACCTAGAAAAAGTATGAACCACATGATTTCGATGGGAAATTACCTCATCTTTCCGATGATGAGGTCAGATTTCCAAAAATTGTCCATTTTCCTTGAGAAAATTGACGGAAAACCTTCAAAGTCGAATATCTCAAAAAGGGCATTTTTAAGATTTTTATAAATAGTCTTAATCGAAAGCTGAGTAAATTTCCTATCAATATGAAAGTTTTCAAAGAGTGGTATTGATTATTACTTTTGGGAAATACAGCGACAAACGTGTAAAAACGTGAGATTTGGTGCCGCGCGAAGTACTGTGCGCTGAAACAGCTGCCGCGTGGGCCGAACAGTCCCATCGAAATCAAGTGGCTCATATTTTTTCTAAGTACATTTAAATGCTTTTCTGACGAGTTACAAATGGACCAGTTTGGCTTAATAAGGCCGCCCGCGCGCACCACTGGAGACTTGATGTGTTATGACTTATATACCGCCGAACCACCTCGGCTTAGTCGAAAGCGTGAAGCAGGGCCGGATCTAGGGGGGGCTTAGGGGGGCTTAAGCCCCGGGCCTCAACTTCCCAAGGGGCCTCGGGTCGATAAGATTATTACGATATAAAAAAATTAATTGAAACGAATTTTTTCCATTTGCACTAGAAAAGGAAATACTAATGGTAAATGAAAAAAAAACAATGAAAATTTTGAGTTATTATTTAGTCAATAAAAATATATTTTTAATGTAATCAATTCTATTTCTATTTATATAAAATAGTATCAATATTTTAAAATTTTTTCCTTGATTTTTCAGTTGCAAATTTTGTAATAATCTCTTCAAAGCTAATTGATTTTAATAATTCTGATTCTATACTTAATAATCCCAAAGCAGAGAGTCTGGTGTCTGACATCGTAGATCGATACATATTTTTTATTCGTTTAAGAACTGAAAAAGATCTCTCAGTTTCACAGTTGGCAATAGGTATGGTTACGAACAATCTATATGCAATGTAAATGTTCGGAAACACCTCAATATAATCGTTATCCACAATCCAGTTTAAAACTTTTAATGGAATTAATGTATTTTTTTGACTCAAGAAAAGCTCTCCGCTTGAAACGTTTAAGAGAGATATGAAATGCTCCAATTCCTGAATTATATCAATGTGTAAATCTTTATCGTACGTTTTCACAAGTTTTTTAGCCTTAATTTTAATTTCTTCGCTAGAAATATTTAGTAGCTCGCACAGGAAACCAAATAATTCTAATACGTTATTGTAAGCCTCACTACGCATTTTCAGCTCAGAAACAAGTTTATCAATGATCGTGTAAAATGTATTAATTCTGAAATCATCACGATTCTCTTCTGGTTGAATTTGAGTTGTACCATCACTGAATTTTTTTGTTATAATTCTTTTTTTACTATAATCTTGAATTATATTATCACTAAGATTTTTAGATTCTTGCTCCAATTCATCAAACTTCGATCTTAAATTTGAAACGAAATCAATTAAAGACAATAGCATTTTATGAGCAGAAAATAATCGACATTTTTTTCCATTGTATACAAGCGTGCAAGTGTGAGATACGAAGTCTCTGTCCGCACGTTTGTAACGCGCTATGCAGGGCCTAATGTTATGCTGTATACGAAAAACCACATAAATCCGAAAACGTGAGTGCAAAAGAGACAAAGAGTTTATGTGTCAGAGAACTCGATGCTTTTTCGGCCGTCGAGTCGGTTAGTAGCAGTAGACGGGCTCGCTACCGCCACTGTCAGCCAATCACAGCGCGTAAATCTCATCAGGCAATAAACGTACTCAAATCGCACTCGCTTGTTCTTTTTTCACGATCTCGTCTTACAAATATAACGAAAGAACTGATATTTAACGTACCTATAAAATCATTGTTTTTATCTTCAATTGTTTGTGATGTACTGCATTGAGCTGATTCATTAGAAATAAAATTATTTTCATCATTCAAAGGAGTTTCTTCAGATCGATCGTTGCCATCTACGCGGTTTTCATCCAGTTCAATTTGCCGAGGATCACTTCCAATTCTCGTTGGCTTAAGGAAGTTCGTCATTCTTGGCAGCTTACTTTCAAACTCTAATCGTTTTGTTTCCCTAGCTCTTTTTGTTGCACCTGCTTCAAATCGTTTAGCCATTTTTCAAAACTGCACTTATTTAACAATTATGATCTACACACACGCTTAACTGCCGCAGAGTGAACCTTTCGCTATATAGAGTGACTTTGCTTAGAGACGGTCGAATGCTAAAGAGCAGAAGTTCGCACTGTGAGTCGCATATAAACTTTGTATCTACACGGAAAATGTTTCGAGTGCGCTGCCGTACTTTTCGCGGGAGCGCTGCGTACGCTCTGTCTTGAGAGCCGCTACTCTACCGTTTTGGGAACGCAGAGCACCCAAAGTTCAGGCATGTCTACTGTTCAACGGTCGTCTTTTTGCTCGCGTACGTCAGCGACCCGAGGTTGGGAGCTCTGCGTTCCCAAAACGGTAGAGTAGCGCTCTCGAGACAGAGCGTTCGCAACGCTCCCGCGAAAAGTACGGCAGCGCACTTCTAACATTTTCCGTGTAGTGTAAAAGCGATCTATAATCATGCAACAAAATTCGAATGTTGTCGTGACTGTTTTTAACGTTTATGCGTTTGAAACTTGCTTGAACGCAGCAGTTGTGATTAAAGATACACATCACAGATAACGTGTGGTGCAATTGGTCTCTAAACCATTGGTTCTCGACCGTTCAAAAAATGGCAAGTCATGGCAGGGTTCAATTTTCGCCATTCTCTGTATCAACTGTGCAGTTGTTTAAATGGTGTATGTATCAAGAAATTTTCTTTTTCGAGCAAGGGTAAAGTCAGAAAATCTTTTTTGATTTTTTAGATCTTTGAATATGTAATATTAAGTACGAGCACAAGTAAATCGAGTAAGCAAAGCTACTCGACTTATTTAACTTTAATATGCAATATAACATGTTTACAATAAAAAAGTGTACTAGCGATTTGGTTACTTAAGAAGGTATTTTTAATAATTTTAAAAAATGTATGGAAATCAGTTACTAAAGTAACCGGAGACTTCATCTGTAGAAGGTTGTTTGGGTTACTAGTGGTTACTCGAGATGACTTGGGTTTATTTAGGGTTACTTGGGGACACTTGTAGCTAGTTAGGGTTACTTTTTTACAATAAGACGATATGGGGGCCTCGTCAGCGGTATAGCCCCGGGCCTCATATTTTCTTAATCCGGCTCTGGCGTGAAGAAAATAAGTTGAAAACTGTTATAAATAGTCATTTAGCCAAAAACGCGCTCTATCTACCTTCTATCTCAATCACCTTAGTGGAAATCGATCTCAACACATCTATGAGAATTTAGTTCTTTCTGCAGAAATACTTGTAGAAAATAAGTTTTTTGGGCAAATTTCTACAAAAAGTGGAAAATTCCTGTAGAAATTCAGTAAAAAAAAAAATTAATTTCCTGCAGGAATCCTCTATATATAAAATTCTTATCGGTAATTTTTGAGAAAATCACGATTCCTATGAGAATCTTGTAGAAACAACAATCTTTCAAAATTCGAGCTTTATATTATTGAAGATGCGTTTCATATTTTTTGTTTGGTCGAAACTTCTTCGTCTTGCGAAGAGGTCCCGTAGTTAATTTATTATAAATAAAAAATAACAACAAATTTGTTTATAATGAGAAAAGACCCGAAGGCAAAAAACTCACTCTTTATTTTAATAATGAATTCGCGCGATTCAATCTATAATCGGATGGGGCCCAAAATTTCAATTATCAGTCGAGATGATTGCGTAATAATTAAAAAGTAAATGAACAGTTACTATTAAAGATTAACGTGAGAATCGAACTATTCAGGTCACCTGACGGAGGGAGAATGACGCCTTTCTCAATTTTATTTATACATAAACATTTTTCATTGTTTGGCAATGCCCATTCAATATACTGACAGTTTAAGTATCGACCATTGTTGCATAGAATCATTCAAAAATTAGGTGCGCGTACAAATTGTTATCGGATGGATAACAATTACGAGAAAAGTCTCGTTAGGTAGTGGTGATTTGGTGGACTGCGTCAATAATGAGGAATCGTGAATCCAACGTGCAGTGGAAGCTTCTGAGATTGGACTCGATGAAGTCGTGTCTGGTAATTGCGAACGGGAGTCAGCAGGGGTGATCTTGTTCGTGCCTTTGTAGGTGTCTTAGGCCTGAGAGTTTGATCGTTTGATAGAAGTGGCTTTTGATCGCTACCTTCTGTAGATCGTTCAAGCTCTCAAGTTTAACTCTCTTCTTTAGCCGTCTGTTTGAATAGTAAGCAATGAACTTACTTATTCAGGTAGAGTGGCTAACCCGTTTCTCAATCAATAAAAATCAGGTATTTGTGTTTAACACGGAACATGCCGGAGCTTTATTTCGACTCGGATAATAAGCATTTTCAGCCACGGTTCATTTTTGGGTTACAAGTTTTTGCAAGCTCGCCACCTAGTGGCTTGTTTAAATATTATATAAATAAACAAAAAATGTGTGCTGCTGTCATAACAGCAAAGCATGTAACAATATAGAACTATGAGAGTATGTGAGTGTATTGTCACACCGTACATTTTTCAATACGACTATGCGATAGACTATGGGTACCCACTGTGCCGTTGTGTTCAAATTTTTGATTTCGACGGTGGTATAAAAACTTCCTTAACTTATACATTTTCTTAAATACCACTCACATCACACATATTGATCTATGTGATTATATTTCTATTAAATTCCTTCAAACAGTTTAAATATTAAAGATTTCAATTTTTATATATTGGTATTTATCAATTATTAATATTTATTACAGGAAGATTTATCAAAGGAACAAGTACAACGTAAGTCTAATTATAAAGCTAATAAATATGTATACAATAATATTCTTTACAATACATGAGGAACTTTCAAAACTTTTAGATTTTGGGTAATTTCTATCTATGGCGAAATTGAGTGATCTGAATATTTTCAGCAACCATGTGTTTTTTGAAACAAAGTATTTTTAAAGACAGGAATACACAGGAGGACGAGTTATGATCCTAGATTTACAAAATTTCGATTTTCTTATTTATCCTGTCAACATTTTAAATCTAACAAGAGCAAAATTTGCAAAACTATCAAACTTTTAGTTTCGATACTTACTTGCACTTTACGTTCCTATAAATGAAAAAATTTTCAATGGTCTCAATGGTAGATTAAGAAAGCGTAAAAAAATTTCAAAAGTACTGTTGGGGAACGTTTCTTAACGATTTTAAAAATATTATTTCGAGAAATTATTATTTAAACATACTTATTTTGCAATTCATGAAAGGTTTTTGTCAAACTGGTTAGAAATATATCTTTTAAAAGTATCTAACTAATCTTTTTGAAATTTCGTTCCCTTTGCATTGATCTTTATGCACTGATAGACCTTTTAGTTCAAGGCAAGAATTCTATAATCAAGTCGCATTCCTGTGTATTAAATAAGCCGCGTTTCCACGTAAGAGGCCAGCATTTACAAGCGTGCTATTCATCGATGTAAGCAAGTGCCACAGTTACTGTGGGTGCGCGTAGTTGCCACAGCTAAGCTGACCAACACTGATCTACTTCAGTGACCACTAGCGCGGTCGGTGCTTAATATTATTTAGTCTAATCGCTCAATTTCCAATTTGCTACAAAAATACCCAAATGCATTCAGAAAAAATAAGTGACCTGAGTTTTCGATCGAAATCCCTTATTTTTTTGATCTAGATTGCTTCAAAAAATCTTGGAAAGAAGTCGAGAAAATCGACTTTTGAGGTTACCTTATGACAATCTCGAGTAAACTGATAAATATCAAGAAATCAAACTTCACTGCCGAGAAGTTGAGAAAATTTACTATTGAAAACTTATACCACATATTTTTATTAGGTGCATTTAGATACTTTAACAGAAAATTAAAAATTGAGCGATTGGGCTAAAAAATTTAATTTCTACATTAACTATTTTAGATTTTTTTCATAATTTTATATAAATAAATAAAAAAATTTTTATATTATCGAGTTCATTTATTTGAAATCACAATTACACGAATTTTGCACCAATATTAATTAATGTCAGATTTCAGAATAGAAGGAAATGTAACATCATATTAATTCCCACTGCTTATCACCAGTTAGAATTTTATCATCTATAATTATAGGCAAATACCTAATAAAAAAAAATATTTCCATTGCAGACATTTTTAAAGTATTGTTATAAAGTAAACGCAATTCTGTTATTTTTGGAGGTAGATTTGACTCGATTTTATAAAAACCAAAGCCCCAGCCACGAGTGTCTAAGAATGATAGAGTAAAATAATTTTCTCAGCGTAAAAAAAAACATTCTTCTTTGATTCCCGTAACTTTTGTATTATTGAGTAAGACATCTGTTTCATATAACTTCGTAGTACGTAGTTTTATCTCATCTTCTTTAACCATTTTTTTAGATTCTGAACTAGTTATCTTGCATAACCTGCAGCAAGAATCCCTATTGAAGAACTTAGTAAAACCTAAATTCTGGTTCAACCCTAGATTATCACCGATGAGTGAAACTAATTGAACCTTCACCAAAAATTCCTGATTTTTATACAGACTTCTATTCCTTCTTTGCATCTAAGATTACTACTATTAGAGATAAGCTTTCGAAATACATCTTTATTAAGGCAATGCTTTTTATCTTTCAAGTTAATCAATCCAGTAAAAAAAATTGAGTCTACACGGGAAGCTATATTTGGTGGAAGGGTTGCAATAGAAGTATAAATGGCCCCAAATTTTTTTTCACCCCCGTAATTCCCTAGCGGGTTCCCGACTTCCAATTCATCATAAAAAATATAAAGTGGAAGGACAATACCTTGATTTGAATGAACATATTTATTTTTCTACATTTTACCTTGAACAAAATTAGAGAGACAATCATTGCTTAACAATTACTAATGCATATAATTTTTCATACTTGGTAAAATACCAGGTACTTCCAAAAAAGATTTTAGTGTGTTTTTTAAACGGGTTACCGACCCAAAATAACCAAAAATAACTCAAAATAATCCGAAAAAATCCAAAAATAACCAAAACTATGTTGCGACAACGGTATAAATAATCCCGTACAAGTATTAACGTTGCTTCAGGCCACCGCAGCTAAAGTTGGTAGAAAACGACAGTAGTAGGGACAGGGATATACGGGGTAAAGTCGAGAGAGATTGAGCTCATCAATTTTACAAGAGTGGTGCACAATGCTTAGAGAAATTCAGGCGACTTATATTCCATAGACTCGGGATGGTTGAATCGTTGAGGAACGAAGGCCAGGCACAAACTGCAAATCAGCTAGGGCAGACGAGAGAGCAGCCAGCGTCGATTCACCACATGGAACGATAGTCATCCTCACATACGCACACAAATAGGTTACGATGACAGTAGGTACTGCGTCACTCGTGGTCCAATACAAAGTGACAAACCTGCGTTTTCTCACCAACCCGTAAGTCATCATGTGGCCCCATCCTACTGACAGGTTTCCTTCTGCGCACCATGTCGCATCTCGCGTGCTCGACTCGTTGTCTCTCTCTAAATCGGCGCGTATCGAAATAAGGCGTATTATCAGGCTTGTATTTTATGGCCTCTCTTTCTCAAAAGTAGGGACATTAGGATAGAATAAGAAAGGAATACCGTCGGACTCTGTATCGGCTAACTACTTCCTTACAGCATATACAGAGCAAAATCATATCATTTTGTTCTGTAAAAAAGACAATTTCAAATTATTCAAGTGAAACTTGAAACTACAGACTATTATTAAGGTGTCATTGCCTACATCAAATATTTTTGTTCCGTGTTCTTTTCTAATATCCTGGACTTCCATAATTTTTGAAGTTTTACAGTAACTCATTATCTTGGATGAAATGGTGGGCCAATTGCGAATGAATAATTCATCGTACAATTCAAAAATAAATTTCAGTAGGTGGTTATGGATTTTTCAAAAATTTGTCTATAATTTTCAAAAATTCATTCTCTAGCTGCAAAAGTATAATAAACTTTACTTTAAAATTGATGAACACCGATGAACTTATTAAATAACTAATGAAACTTACTAATTCTAGTCATATGGAAGAACTTAAGGGCTCAAAGGGGGCTTAAATATTTATATATTTTTATTTATAGTATTAAGCTGAAAAAGTGAAAAAAAATTTTTTTCAGAAAACAGGCATAAGAGCCTTTTTCAATACCCCATTTGAAAGTACTTTGTCCAGTTAAATACTTAAAAACACTTAAATCAACTTGTATCAGCCTATGAGCCTTCAGCGAAGAGCATTGAGGATATCTAAGCTGTTTGTCGTAAGATTCTAAGTGATGGCTTGACACGACGAAGTTCTATGTCATTTTATTTTCTTCGATGGATCATTATCCAGCATAAGATCAACTTTGACTACTTCCACATACAATTTCATAAAATATTTTATTAAAATTTATCAAAAATAATCATTAATGAATAAAATATTTTATTAAATTGTATGTGGAAGTAGTCAAAGTTGATCTTATGCTTAGCTTGAGGTTGCGTTGATGGATGATGATCCATCGAAGAAAATAAAATGACATAGAACTTAGTCGTGTCAAGCCATCACTTAGAATCTTACGACAAACAGCTTAGATATCCTAAATGCTCTTCGCTGAAGGCTCATAGGCTGATACAAGTTAATTTAAGTGTTTTTAAGTATTTAACTGGACAAAGTACTTTCAAATGGGGTATTGAAAAAGGCTCTTATGCCTACAGGGTGCTAAAATATTCGTGATGTCTACAGGGTGCTAAAATAATCGTAGAAAGCTCTATTTTTTTTTATTTGGACTAAAAAATACTGTATTCCACGTGAACGTTTAAAAGATCCAGTTTTTCTATCATTTAAAGTGTTATGCTTAAAAGCGACTAGCAACTGGATATTGACGCAGATGGACTGAGCTTGTCGGATCTCCAGTGCTGTATCAAAATAATAATTATATGAAGCGTTTAAGGCCATACGTATTGAAATTAAACGCTTTATAATGTTATAATTGAACAATATTGCAATGTTTTGGGTCATGAGTGAGATCCAACAAATTCTTAAGAATGAAATGTAATGTTTTCAAGAACCAGTTGTCTAAAATAAGTGACCAAAATAGTTTGAGGGTAGTAAATAAATATTTATTGCGCTTTATATGTTTATTTTTATTATTTTAACGTATATTTTTATCTAACGCTTCCAGGGCATATTCACACAACCTAACATAACAGGGCATGTTTTCTAACTGTCTTGAATCACCAGAAAAAGTTCGGGCCAAATTCATGACCCGAAGGTGAGAATGTCTCCTTGTAAGTAAATAACGTAAGAGGATCGTGCTAACAAATTAAACTCTTTCCCCCCTTTCCCCAAACACAATCACACTCATCCCAACATATTCATATCACAATCGATCACATATATCACAAAAATATTTTTAAAAAACGAGATGAATATGTACCAAGATAATTTTTCGGAGTTCAGTTGACGAAAAATGAAGTTGTAAAAGATGTGAGGATACGCACCCGTGCTATTAAGGTGGTCTGTACCCCACAGAGTCGAAAAATTTGTTTTATTTATAAATTTTTTTCGAAATCGAATATCGAAAAACGGCCCTATGGGAACATTAATTGTATTGCTCTCAATAGCTGGTAAAAATTTCAGCTCATTCCACCGACCACATTTCCCTGAAAACGTGTTCGAAATTTGCACCCGTTTTCTCGGCTTGAAATTTTCAAACACATTTTCCGGGAAATCTGGTCGGTGGAATTAACTCAAATTTTTACCAGCTATTCATATAGCAATAAAATGAAGGTTCCCATT